TATGTAGTTATACAGGTAGGTGTACCAGATTGTACCTGGTAATACAGGTAGGTGTACCAGATATTACCTGGTAATACAGATAGGTATACCAGATAGTACCTGGTAATACCGTCAGGTAGGTGTACCAGATAATACCTGGTAATACAGGTAGGTGTACCAGATAATACCTGGTAATACAGGTAGGTGTACCAGATAACACCTGGTAATACAGGTAGGTGTACCAGATAACACCTGGTAATACAGGTAGGTGTACCAGATAATACCTGGTAATACAGGTAGGTGTACCAGATAATACCTGGTAATACAGGTAGGTATATGTGATATAACCTGGCTATTTAGCTTACTGCCACCCATTGGTTGTTTTACTTTTACACCACTGTAACAGAAATTGTTTCAGCCAGTGTCTGTTTTTTAACTGATTCCATGGTGAATTGAAAAAAAAATCTGTAGCCAATTAAATATAATAACCAGGCCCGTAGCCAGCAATTTCAAAAGGGGGGTTCTTTTTTTGAAAAAGTGGACCTTTTCCCATAAAAACTTCATGTACCGAGATCAAATTTTACCCAGAGTGGACCTTTTTCCCAGCAAAAGGGGCAGTTCTTTCGAACCCCCCGAACCCCTCCTGGCTATGGGCCTGATAACATATATATTGTCCACAGGTTAATCCCAACTACGATAGTACCTATGTGTTTGACAATGATTTCCCGGCACTGCTGCAGGAGGGCCCATCTCCAGGTGAGTGGACAGGTAGTCTTTGACAGGAGGGACCATCTCAGGGTGAATGTAGGGGTAGTTCCTAGCTAGGAAAGGGAGAAGTGACTTTTCACATTTTATATCATAGATTGGGAGTGGAATAGCTTTCAGTTAGTAAAAAGAAGGTGATTTATTTTTTAGAATTATCTTTCTTGGCGTGAAATTCCTATTTTATATTAAGGTCTATATTTTATGCTGTGGCCAGTGATGTGTGGAAAGTGACAGTGATGTTGTATATTTATATCTGTTTAAAGAAGCCAGTGAAGACCCCCTGTTTCAGTCTGCTGCAGCCCATGGTGCATGTAAAGTGATGTGTTTTCACCCGTGGTCTGACATCACCTTGCCTCTCATGTCCATCCCAGATATCATGGCAGTCATTGAGAAGTGGGTAGAAATCATGCAAGATCTGGGGACCAAGTTTGTCTGGGTGCAGGTAAATGATTAGGATGATTTGTGAGAATGAGGCACAAAATATCTGTGAAGATATATTTTAAATGTTGGTGAAATTTTTAATATTTTTAAATAAAAGTTATTTGGGTATCTTCATTTGGTATAAAAAACACACCAATACAATGCACTTTCATCACAAAAAGTAATTGTTACAAATATAAAACAAGATTTTTGATTTGCAGATCTTTGAGAATAAAGGTGCTATCATGGGCTGCTCTAACCCTCATCCTCATTGCCAGGTATGTATCTATTTCCTCCACCTTCCACCCCCTCCTTGCTTCCCCCCCCCCACCCCCCTCTTAAATATACTTATGTAAGCATGCACACCCACTTGCATATAAATTGTACATTAACTAGTGTACTCTCTGTCTATGTTAGAAGAAATGTTTAAATACGAACTATTATGCAAATATTGTTCATGCATTTTGTCTTTGATTAGCAGTATGATGCTTACTTAATTTTTGGCTATGTCCTCATTGTCCAGGTTTGGGCCAGCTCCTTCCTGCCCAATGAGCCGTCTGTCAAAAACAGAACACAGAAACAGTATTATGAGAAACATAAAGTGCCAATGTTACTTGAATACATGGAAAAGGAAATCCAGAAAAAAGTAAGTAACTTTTATTAATTTTCCATTGTATTTTTAACATGCATTAATAATTATGTTGATATATGGTTGTGTTTGAAAAGTGTATGTGCAAGCACAGAGTATCAAATGTCTTTATTTGACTTCAGGAACGAATTGTTGTAGAGAATGGTCATTGGTTGTGTGTTGTGCCATATTGGGCAGTGTGGCCATATGAAACCATGCTGCTGCCAAAGAGACACATCCTCAGGTTACAGGACTTAAAGGAGGAGGAGAAACTGGGTGAGACAGCCACCTCTGGTGGTTTTGTGATCAGTCTGTCAAACAGTGCATTAATGCCCCAGCTTATTGCTGTATATAAAATGATGTAAAATATTAGATAATAAACATGGGCTAACTTATGTTATGACAGAACTTTGAGTGGATATTCTTTGACAGAATAAATGGAAGCTGGATTTTTTTTACAACATAGATTTAAAATTCTTGTTTTTTGCAGCTCTAGCAGACATAATGAAACAGCTGCTGACCAAGTATGATAATCTCTTTGAAGTGTCCTTNTACCTGGAAAAAATCAGCATCTGCCAATCCAAAAAAAAAAAAAAAAAGTTAAAATTTTGATTTAGTCAAGAACATACATCTTCTTAATTTAATGGAAATGAAAAGAATGAGAGAAGTGTCACATTAATCACTGTTCATTATTTGAGATATAATTTTTGAAAATGTTGAGCTCTGATTCTGCCTGTGTCAGCCATTTGTACATTACAATGATTGACAAAATGAGAGACAACCCAGAAGTGTGTGCTTCATCACCCTAAGAGTCCCTCTTGAAAGCCACAACTTTTCATCATAAATGACAAGTCAACAGTAGTTTTACACAAGATTATTGTATGTCTTGGTGGTCCCATGTCCATATCTCTCCCACAGGTGCCCCCACAGGTCCAGAGAGCTCCAGTGAAGACTACAGCCACTGGCAGCTACATGCCATCTACTACCCTCCTCTGCTCAGGTCAGCCACAGTGAAGAAGTTTATGGTGGGCTATGAAATGTTGGGCTCTCCACAGAGAGATCTAACAGCAGAGCAGGTATGGTCAGTGAAGTTAACAGCCTAGAGTAACTGGGGACAATTATTACAGGCAGTCTTTAAATGTTTCTTCTATTAGAAGAAAAGTCCAGATTAAATGAAGACAATTATTAAAGGAAAACAGTCTTTAAATGTTAGTTCTATTGGAAGAGAAGGCCAGAGTTACTGGTGGCAATTATAAAAGGGAAACGGGAAATTAACATGCTTCTTCTCCCAGGAGAGAAACCAGCAGGGTTGTCGAAGTGGGATAACAATAACCAACCTCCAATCTAAAGAAGGTTAAGATTGTTTTATAAGAACACCGTAATCCTGAATAAAAAATTTAAAAAATTGTTCAGACTTCTGTGACCTCAATATTAAAGAAATCTTCACCATTTTTTTCAGGCTGCAGAAAAGCTTAGACTGCTACCAGACATCCATTACAAGAAATCCTAATGATGGGCAGCAAAAATTTTGGCTGTGGCTACTTTTAACTTTATGATGCAATCTCGTGTTGCTTAATATACTTACTTTTTATCCAGTTTAGGGAAATTAATTTTATTCTATACAAGGTGTGGAAGGGTGCTTTTATGACCTTAGGTGATATATTACCTACTTACATGTGAAGGATAAGGGAAAATAATTTGATTTCATTATCTTATATTTAGGTAGCTACTTATTAATATCACAATTTGTTTAACACTGAGGGTCTAACCAAAAGATCATGTAACATATATTTGACAGGCAAATATGAATTAATAACTTGGGTTTTGAATAATCTGTTTATAGTGGTTAACATGGGCTTTAGATCTACACTTTATCTAACCAGGCATTTACTGTGTGGTTATATGACCAACCTCATTTATACATTACAGAAAAATGTTTGAATCATTATGATTGGGCAATATTGAATGAAGAATAAACATTAACATATAATCTTTCTATTCTTTTCCTCATGAATGTGAATCTGCATGTGATGAGTTTACACATTTTCAAATTTTTGACTCTAAATGTTTTTCAGTTTTCTTTCACAGTAGTAATGTTAAGAATAAATTGATCATAGACTGCATTCCCACAGATTTGAGATTGATCCATCCCCGTGGGGAGTCTCACTAGATTACTGTCAGCTTAGCAAGCTTAAATGTCTGTCCCGCCTACTAAAAGCTGTAAGGGGGTAATTAACTTCCGTGCGTGTTCGGCTGACAGCAATTTAGCATGAACCCCCAGGGAGTTAGGTCGATCCAGATGGATCGATCTAAATCAGTGGGAATGCAGTCATTGACTTTTTAATTATCTTCCCTCTTGGTAGACTTATCAACATTGTTTTAACCAACACCAAGCAAACAGATATTAATTCTTCCTGATCCACTTTTCATTTTGCAACAATGAAACCTTGTTGACTTTGAAAGACAAAGGGTATTACAGACAAATGTATTGACATCACAGTTGATGGGTATCCTCATGGGGAACCAACTTGTTCATCTAGGTCACAGAAAATATTTTAAACTACTACTCCGTGAATTGGAATATTTATATTAAAATGATTTGCTAATAGATGCATGCTTCTTTTCACTGGTTTTTGTTCACAGCAATTCAAACCTTGGATAAAACCCTCTATGTGTGCAATGAACAAGTCCATGAAGTGGCAGCACCACTGTGTGCCCTACACAGTTGGCGCCACCATCTGCTCTACACAGAGCTAAGAGATTAATCATCCATTTTGGCAAATTTCTCTTTCTCTTCAGCCTTTCAGTGTCATTCTTCATTTTTCCATTCTCAGTGGCCTAGGCCCGTTCCTTTTTTTACCACTTTCCTCTTTTACTCCAGTCTTTAGGTTGCCAATGTAAAGCTTTTGAGTCAATTCTTGTTTTCCTCTTCTGCATGGCCTTGGCCTGTGTATCTAACTGTTCCTTGGATAGTGTGATGATGTATTGACCTTTGTAATAATTGATGAGATTCAAATGCTGCAGAGTGGAGATGACGTCTTCTTTCTTAATACTGGTAAGTTCTGATGCTTCACTGAAAATAGAAAGAACATGAGTAACAGTTTGTTTTTGCTCTCTCTTCTGTCATTGGCTCACTAACTGATGATCACAATTGATGTTTCAAATTGAGAAATGTTAAATTTAAATTGTGGTTGTCTTTTTTTTAACTTGAATAATTACATACAAATGTAGTGATTGATATAAAAAGCATGTACTTGATAGTAATGACGGGTCTCTCCCCATTCTCATTGGGTTTGAGTCCTATTAGAATCTCCAGTATAGTCTGTGACCAGTAGCTCCTGTAGGAGAGGAGACCCAAGTCAGACAGGGGCTTCTCGGGGGTTCCTGTCTTACCTTCAAACTTGGACAGCTCATAACCTGAAACACAAGTATGGAGGGTAGCAGAAAAAACTAGATGACTTCACACTAATGAGTTTTACCTCTAAAACAGCATAAGTGCTGCATACATTTCTACAACAAACTGAACACTGGTTTTGGTTTTTTAAGTATAAGACTACAGAAAATAAATAATGTATAAGAACATTCTTTCCCTATCTATTAAACCTAACATGATAAAAATATTATAGAATGAAGGGTAGATACTTACTGAATTCAATCAGCAGTTTTCCATACCCTTTCCTTTGATGAGGAGGTAAAGTAAGGATACATGCCACATTATAATCTTCTGTTGATTCTTTTTCCTACAATAATAAATGAAATGAAAACTGAGGAGAGCATTTTGAAAGAGATGAAATAAAAGCTCTGTGGTATTTAAACATTATCTAATATGCTGCTTTTATGCTAACAAAAGGAGGTCTTAAAACCCTTTAAAGAAAAAAAAACTCACTAATTATGTAAGTAAAAAAGCAGTTATATATTTTCTGTGTTACCTTTGAGAAATAGCCCACAATATGGAACCCCTGGCTGTCAGACTCACACATCACATAGAAGAGAAAGGGGTCTGTGTCGTAGTACAGTGTCTTGTGGTCTAAGAATAACTTGGCAAGAAGACAAAGATTCTGTGCATATGTCTGGGGAAATATCACATCCAATTAACATCAAATTTATATAATTCATGAGGCATATAGTTTAGATTATATTGATATAATGACAAAATGGATATCATTCTATAATTTGTATTTTACTTTGATTTCATTACATTTTCAGAACTTGTACCCAGCAGAAACTATGCTAGGAAAAAAATAGTAAAAAGAGAAACGTACTTTATTTTTCCTCCCATCAATCTCAAAGAAGGATATGTTTGCTTTGCGGTAGATTTCATTCCCTGGTGGATGTTTATGTGGGCATTTGGCCTGGAACAAAGCACAACTGATTAACTTGGAATTTATAGTAAATCCATGGCCTTGAAAATGTGTGTGTGTGTGTGTGTGTGTGTGAACAACTGAGTGCACAATAACAAAATACTATGTTTCACATCAATAACAAATGTTCAGTATTAATTCTCTGCATCCTCCAGACAAACAGCTACTCTTCTTACCAAGACATGTTACTCTTCATATACTTGAGACAGAACTCACACAGTTACTTTACTTACCAAGTGTCTTCTAAGACATGTGTTACTCTTCATATACTTGAGACAGAATTCACACAGGTACACTATAGGAATGTTGGTCAGCTCCTGGTAGGAAAATTGAGTGGCATGTGATAGTCATACAAATATGCATCAATCTATGTTAAATCAATGATTTTCCTAGAGCCAGTTTAAAGCACATCTGTGAATACCAACCGATAGAAAAGTATGAATAAACATGCAGAAATCCAATATTCCTACTCACTTGTGGATATGGAGAAAAGTACCAGGGTTTTATTCTATATTTCCCTATTTGGATGGTCTCGATATTTTTCATCCTAGTCACTATGTCATCCTGGTGTCCATGGGCCACCATACTGCCTGTCTGCCTGGGAGCCTTGGGGGCACTCGGTTCCTCCTGAAACCATAGCAACCAGAGTAACCATAGTAACACTCATAGGATCACAGGGCCTCAACAGTACCATTATAATCATAACAATTACTTTGCTAAATTTAGGGAAATTCTGGTAAAGATTTTGTTTTATATAGGAGGATTATGCAGGTAACATTGTGGCCCATTTATCTAATGAAAATAATACCATGCTTTTGAAATCTGTGTAGCCATACATTGTTTCTTACCTGTACTCCTAGACCATATAATACATTGTTTCTTACCTGTACTCCTAGACCATATAATACATTGTTTCTTACCTGTACTCCTAGACCATATAATACATTGTTTCTTACCTGTACTACTAGACCATACATTATATTGTTTCTTACCTGTACTCCTAGACCATCTCTGGAGTCTGTCTGCAAGTACAACAAGTACATTTGTTACAATATTTCTGTGGAAATGTAATGTTAACAGCAGCTTAACATCCCTGATACAGAAAAACCCAACATGAAACATTTATCAACAAATCATGTGAGCAATCTTTGATTTCATTTCATTATCTTGGGTATTAAACTTTTGGTTCAATTACTTTGTAACACTGATGAATAAAAACTGAAGTTTACAAATAAAACTTACATCATTGGTTTCAAAATGCTTCCTTTTTCTTCCAAGAACAGATCCCTTTTTGGTGAGTCCTCCATTCTAAAAGAAAATCAACCAAATGTCAAACATAGTAAAAGGTGAAAAATGTAAATTTGTTTAACAGAAAATTAGCAGAGTTACCATAGGTGGTTTATAAAGAAAACTGTGTATAACCTGTGTCATCATGACTTGCTGTGGATGGTGGGTAATGCCACTTACCACCAGCTCTCTCTCAGGACTGCTGGGTCTGGAACCTGACGCCTTGTTGTCCTTCACTGGCGTCTTAGCATCCTTCTTGGGCAGCTCTACCTTGTCCAGGTTTAAACGGCTTTCATCCACCCACTCATCCAAACGCTTATTAACTGGAACATATCATACAACATTTGATAAGGTGATCTTTTTGCCATGAATGTGCCAAAGCCAAATAGTACTGCATAAATCTCAGGCAGAGATTCTTTACTAGATAGTATGGTGTCACTACAGGATACTGCAGGTGGTACAAAACCACATGAAAAGTATCATTATAGCAATTCATTACTTAAGACAAATTAAGCTATTATGAATACTAGCATAGCTTTGCAAATTGACACTTACAATCAAGATAGTGAATATAATACATGGTTTTCCCACCAACATCCTTTTTGCTCAGGACCTCTGCTTCTCCTAGATAAGTGAATAAAAAAATCTCAAAATAGCTACATTAATGCTGATCGACATACACATTTCAAATCAAAAAGATGAAAGAGAAGACTTTTTTTGTTTATTACATAAAACTAGATTTCACAAGTCCCGTTTGCTTTACCACAAAAGAGAAAGTCCCTCACGTTAATTATAATAATTCCTTATTTCTGGTAATTTCTGTATCTGTCAGTATACATCTAAAGAAACCACTACTGGTATATGATAGACGGGAAAATATCAAAATGACTTACGCCACTCCTCAGAAGACTGAAACTTTGCAGGCACATGGCACCCTTCTGTGATCTCCATCTAAACAACAAGAATATAAAGTAGTAGTATATGCCAAACACCATAGAAACAAGTGAGAGTGCAACTGGCTTTTTTTTTTATAGGGGAACTTCACTGCTGGGCATATAGAACACAGCAAACAATAAAACTGGCTACACAATATACATATTTTTTGAAGGCAAATATAAGATGTTAAACAAAAACACACAACATGTAAAATTACGTCAAATTTTATTGAGAGCACTTATTATTTTTCTACTCACTGTTTTGTTCTCCACAGCCATTGTAAGTTTGTGTTTTTTGGGCGAAAGTATGACAACTGTGCTTTTCAAATACTTTGAGTCGGCCTTCACATAAGCCCTTTATTCTGAACTTCTTACAAAAAAGATTGAAATATTTTACCGCTACTAGATGGCGCGTACGCTCATTACCTGCTGCAAACTATGATATGCCAAGCGCCACCTAAAGGCAGTTTTTGTGGCAGACACTGAACCAAAACTAGGCGGAACACGAGATTGTTTGCTCATTTAATTTTCTGCTTAACGATAAAAATTTCTTGTACCAGAATAATTGATAATGATAAGAAATTATCAATTATTTTAACATTAAGTAACATGTAATAGGCCACAGATTGTAATCTGTAGCAAGCTGAACAACATAATTCACTTTGTATGGTTTTTTAAAACACACGCTCTTCTTTTCATTTAAAACTTTTCATAAAAAAAGAAAAAAAGAAAGAAAGAAAGAAAACAGTGTTAATAACCAAAAATATTATGTGCAACAATAAAAATTCCTTGATTTTTTTTTTCTTTTTTTTTGTGTCTGTGTGTGTGCATGTAGTAGAAGAGCAGGTAAAATGGTTATTTTTTAAAGATGAAAGTAGACCTTTTAAACAGAAGTCCAGAAAATGAAAACATTTAACGTGGTCAATTTTACATAGAGATCTGGGGAATTGCACCTGAAACTTTTTCATAATTTTTTTTACAAATTTTCTGGACAAATCTACATCGGTCCTTTTTTGTACTATAGTGTTTAACAATTACAATTCTGTTTCTCTCTAAAATCACTAGTTTTGACAGGAAAAAAGGAACCACAAGTGTGACAGCTAGAAGTTTAAAAAGTACATACAGATGCAGATCACTTCTAAATAGTACAACATTTTGTACGTGGCCACTTAGAAGACATCCCATTCTTACCCATACTGTCATTGTCAGTTTTTCAGGAGGGTAATAAATGAAATCATGTCATCAGGAACAAGCACATATAATCTATTCATATTTATTATTACAATATAGCCATATCTACTACATTTGTACTTTTATCATACACAATATAACTTATATACTTGTACATATAATAATATAAAAGTATCATAAATAATAATTTTGTATTCTAGCTGAATACTTTTTATATCAATATTTTCAAAGTTTTATCTTAATAGTTACACTACAATGCTTTTCTTTATGAATGGTGTTATTGATGGGTAACTGTGACAGACAGTTCCTGTTTATATACAAAATATGGAAATATATCTGGTGAGGAATACAAACCCAGCTGATTAACTTATAATATCAAAGTACAAAACTCATTTAAAACACTTCACATTGAAGCAACTTATATACTGAACTCTGTCATTTATTAACTAATAAATAAATAAATGATACTGTATAATACAATGAGAAACTACTGGTTGATGTTGCTGTGGTACAATAAGAGATAGAAGACAAGACAACAAGCATCAGATACGCGACTCCATTTTTATCTATAATATATTATACAGGCAAACTTTACATTGAATATACTGTGGATGCACAATTAAACTGCCCTTACATTGTAATTTTGCTACTTGCTTTATATATTCCACAGAAAAAATACCAATGCTCTTTCACTCATTTTAGCATATCTTATATGTCCATCAAGCCCTGTGTCTAGAATTTAAGTACATCTTGATGTGCTTCATGCCATTTAATGTTTCCAAATATATATATATATATATATATATATATATATGCAACACAATTTGCCATCCATTAATTTACCACATATAATCTTGTCTACAGTTTTAACCTGTGCAATCTGTACACTACCCAAGCCAAGTTAACAACTGTGTAAGGATGACACAGAATTGACAGAGCTACAATTTCACTTGTACAGTTACTACACCACATATATCTATATGTACACTGGATTAAGACATTGCACTGCGCCAGAAAGAAAGAGTTCACAGTTTCCCAGTACTTACAACTATGGTCTGCTGCGTTCACAGTAGAGAACTTGTTTAAATTATAATGAACTGTCAATGTCTCCAAAATATGCAGGCTGCAACTGCATATTAAGTTTATACACCATATTTTCAGTCAAAATAAAATGTAAGGTGAAAACTTCCAGTTTCTGAAAACAAGAAGACTACATGGAATGTGTCAACTAAGAGGAAAATGGAATCAGAAGTTAACTGAAAGAAAAATAAATAAAATTAGATAAACCACAACGTATGTTTTTTGTTGTTGCTTGACATTTTTATCAGTTATGTAGTTTTGAAGTAATGTTGTTATTTTATTTTATAACTATGTAGCTTAACCTTTGTCATAGTTATGTAGTTAAACCTTTGTTATTGGGATCAGTCAATCAAAACTGAAACTATCCCTTCACTTTATGTTTGCATTTTCACATTGAATGATGTCCAATAAATACTACCTAATACTCTAATAAAGGAAGCAATTCACAGAAATCTAGTTTATAATTTGAAACAACATTATATAAAGTAAGCATTTCTGTTTTGTTATCCTAATTATTTTTCCATTTCCATACATACTGCTACTAGTTGAATTGAGTTCTTGTGAACCTAGATGCGTCATGACAGTAGCTGCTTGTACAGCAAATATATCCAGAGATTTCCACCTCTGTGTAAGTGGACTGTCCACTCTACTTACAACACATCTTGTGTGATAATGTTGAGTAACATGGTATAGTTGTATTTAATACAATAATGTATGCTGCAGTAACATCCCTGTATCCAGACTGTCAGTTGTTGATCCTGTGGGCAGCTGAGTGGAATCCACTGCACTGACAACCTTCTCCATATCCCATGACTACCTAGTGACAGGACAATACACAGCTGTTCACAGCAGGAACTAAAACTGAACTTTATCTATTGCCATTCAGTATGTTTGTCCTGGATCTGGATGCTATACACATCTTCCATATCACTGAGGCTGTGAGTGACTATAATGCACTGAATTCCTGTCCTTTAAATTTGTCAATCACTTTCACTTTCACTATCATCAAATCCGTCCAAGTCGATCTCTCCCAATACGCCTTCGCGCTGTGCATGTTCCAGTAATGCCAGATGACAGAACACGTACTGGTCTGGCATCTGTATACTGAAAGCACGTTGTGACCGTATTCTTTGCACTGTAGACTCCACATCCACCTTACAGTCATCTGCCAGCCACTTAGTACAGATGTCCATGGTAATGAAGGTTCCTAAAAGCATTCAAATAGCAGTCAGTTATAACAGGGACAAGATCTAGGGGGTTGATTACAGGGAGTTGGTTACAGAGAACCAGTTACAAGAAGGCAGTTACAAGGAGCCAGTTACAAGAAGGCAGTTACATATGGAGCCAGTTACAGGAAGGCAGTTACATATGGAGCCAGTTACAGGGNAGACGCCCCCTTTTTTAAAACACACGCTCCTCTTCTTTTCATTTAAAACTTTTCATAAAAAAAGAAAGAAAGAAAGAAAACAGTGTTAATAACCAAAAATATTATGTGCAACAATAAAATTTCCTTGATTTTTTTTTCTTTTTTTTTTGTGTCTGTGTGTGTGCATGTAGTAGAAGAGCAGGTAAAATGGTTATTTTTTAAAGATGAAAGTAGACCTTTTAAACAGAAGTCCAGAAAATGAAAACATTTAACGTGGTCAATTTTACATAGGGATCTGGGGAATTGCACCTGAAAACTTTTTCATAATTTTTTTTACAAATTTTCTGGACAAATCTGCATCGGTCCTTTTTTGTACTATAGTGTTTAACAATTACAATTCTGTTTCTCTGTATTAAATGTTACAATCAGCAGAGAGTATCTCTAAAATCACTAGTTTTGCCAGGAAAAAAGGAACCACAAGTGTGACAGCTAGAAGTTTAAAAAGTACATACAGATGCAGATCACTTCTAAATAGTACAACATTTTGTACGTGGCCACTTAGAAGACATCCCATTCTTACCCATACTGTCATTGTCAGTTTTTCAGGAGGGTAATAAATGAAATCATGTCATCAGGAACAAGCACATATAATCTATTCATATTTATTATTACAATATAGCCATATCTACTACATTTGTACTTTTATCATACACAATATAACTTATATACTTGTACATATAATAATATAAAAGTATCATAAATAATAATTTTGTATTCTAGCTGAATACTTTTTATATCAATATTTTCAAAGTTTTATCTTAATAGTTACACTACAATGCTTTTCTTTATGAATGGTGTTATTGATGGGTAACTGTGACAGATAGTTCCTGTTTATATACAAAATATGGAAATATATCTGGTGAGGAATACAAACCCAGCTGATTAACTTATAATATCAAAGTACAAAACTCATTTAAAACACTTCACATTGAAGCAACTTATATACTGAACTCTGTCATTTATTAACTAATAAATAAATAAATGATACTGTATAATACAATGAGAAACTACTGGTTGATGTTGCTGTGGTACAATAAGAGATAGAAGACAAGACAACAAGCATCAGATACGCAACTCCATTTTTATCTATAATATATTATACAGGCAAACTTTACATTGAATATACTGTGGATGCACAATTAAACTGCCCTTACATTGTAATTTTGCTACTTGCTTTATATATTCCACAGAAAAAATACCAATGCTCTTTCACTCATTTTAGCATATCTTATATGTCCATCAAGTCCTGTGTCTAGAATTTAAGTACATCTTGATGTGCTTCATGCCATTTTATGTTTCCAAATATATTTATATATATGCAACACAATTTGCCATCCATTAATTTACCACATATAATCTTGTCTACAGTTTTAACCTGTGCAATTTGTACACTACCCAAGCCAAGTTAACAACTGTGTAGGGATGACACAGAATTGACAGAGCTACAATTTCACTTGTACAGTTACTACACCACATATATCTATATGTACACTGGATTAAGACATTGCACTGCGCCAGAAAGAAAGAGTTCACAGTTTCCCAGTACTTACAACTATGGTCTGCTGTGTTGAGAGTAGAGAACTTGTTTAAAATATAATGAACTGTCAATGTCTCCAAAATATGCAGGCTGCAACTGCATATTAAGTTTGTACACTATATTTTCAGTCAAAATAAAATGTAAGGTGAAAACTTCCAGTTTCTGAAAACAAGAAGACTACATGGAATGTGTCAACTAAGAGGAAAATGGAATCAGAAGTTAACTGAAAGAAAAATAAATAAAATTAGATAAACCACAACGTATGTTTTTTGTTGTTGCTTGACATTTTTATTAGTTATGTAGTTTTGAAGTAATGTTGTTATTTTATTTTATAACTATGTAGCTTAACCTTTGTCATAGTTATGTAGTTAAACCTTTGTTATTGGGATCAGTCAATCAAAACTGAAACTATCCCTTCACTTTATGTTTGCATTTTCACATTGAATGATGTCCAATAAATACTACCTAATACTCTAATAAAGGAAGCAATTCACAGAAATCTAGTTTATAATTTGAAACAACATTATATAAAGTAAGCATTTCTGTTTTGTTATCCTAATTATTTTTCCATTTCCATACATACTGCTACTAGTTGAATTGAGTTCTTGTGAACCTAGATGCGTCATGAGTAGCTGCTTGTACAGCAAATATATCCAGAGATTTCCACCTCTGTGTAAGTGGACTGTCCACTCTACTTACAACACATCTTGTGTGATAATGTTGAGTAACATGGTATAGTTGTATTTAATACAATAATGTATGCTGCAGTGACATCCCTGTATCCAGACTGTCAGTTGTTGATCCTATGGGCAGCTGAGTGGAATCCACTGCACTGACAACCTTCTCCATATCCCATGACTACCTAGTGACAGGACAATACACAGCTGTTCACAGCAGGAACTAAAACTGAACTTTATCTATTGCCATTAAGTATGTTTGTCCTGGATCTGGATGCTATACACATCTTCCATATCACTGAGGCTGTGAGTGACTATAATGCACTGAATTCCTGTCCTTTAAATTTGTCAATCACTTTCACTTTCACTATCATCAAATCCGTCCAAGTCGATCTCTCCCAATACGCCTTCGCGCTGTGCATGTTCCAGTAATGCCAGATGACAGAACACGTACTGGTCTGGCATCTGTATACTGAAAGCACGTTGTGACCGTATTCTTTGCACTGTAGACTCCACATCCACCTTACAGTCATCTGCCAGCCACTTAGTACAGATGTCCATGGTAATGAAGGTTCCTAAAAGCATTCAAATAGCAGTCAGTTATAACAGGGACAAGATCTAGGGGGCTGATTACAGGGAGTTGGTTACAGAGAACCAGTTTCAAGAAGGCAGTTACAAGGAGCCAGTTACAAGAAGGCAGTTACATATGGAGCCAGTTACAGGAAGGCAGTTACATATGGAGCCAGTTACAGGGAGTCAGTTACAAGAAGGCAGTTACAGGGATGGGAAAAAATGAAGAGTTACCAATCAAAGTTATATAAGAGAATTACTTAAAATTAAAATTGAAGCTATCAAGGAATTCTATTTATCCCAATGCCAATAGTACAGCTTATATCCCAGTTAATGACCCTTCCAGCTGATATAACCCAAGTCAGAGGTAATATACCCATACTAACCTGTTCTCCCTATTCCAGCACTGCAGTGTATAATTATGGGGGGCCCCAGGGGGTGGCCTTTCCAGCTGCCACCAAGCTCTGACACTCTTTGCTCTTGGTGTCGACGTACCCGGAACATGAAGTCAAGGAATCCTGAGGCCGAGTGGGGGACGCCATAGTCTGGCCAGCTGGTGAACTGAAAGTGGGTCACTGTCCTGTGCTCCTCTGTCTGAAAGTTTACAGATTGTTTTATTTTACCTTTGTTATAACCCTCCTAGTGCCTCACAATTCTAGAATTCGCATTTCTTTAAGGGGCATGGTCCTTTTTTACAACTATAACTTTAATCTCAAAATGCACACTCATTCTGTTTTTTATTATTGATATTTATCATAATGGTGAAAAGATAAAAACCTCCCCCTACCTTAGGGTTCTGTATTACTAGTGTAGAGACTGTGTAATCTTTGTTCAGTTCTATTTTGGTGTTGATAACAATTAAGTCTCCATATTGTTCATAGGTGTCTTCCTCATTAGGCCAGTACTGCCCACACTTCACACGGTTCCTCTCCACAGCTCTGAAATAGTTACATATCACAGCATGTGGTCACAGTGCACAGAATAATTGCTTCTATTTCATTTTTATTGGCAGTTTAAGTTTTCAAATTATAAATTTAACTCTAGACTATGACATATATGATAATTTTTCTCTTAGTTCAACTAAGTCTATTTGATAAAGGTGTATAGTTCAAATAATCAACTGTTCACAAGTGAAAGCTGCCTGATACAAACTGCACATGCACATTGTTATTTAATGCACCTGACAAACTATATTTCTAGAGAGAAGAATAAAACACCAATTGGTTGCCCTGACAATGACCAGCACTTTGTTGTCATGATGATCATCACCATTTATTTCATCAAAACTCACTTTGTTGTCATGACTATGATCAGTGCCTGCTGCTCCCAGACCATTCTCCAGAAATCATCAAAAGACTTTGGAAGTGGCCCTGAAAAGGACATAATACTTTATTTTACATAAAATCTTCTTTGTGATCAAAGGATAAAAACAGGCCTGTAACTGTCATCTAACACTTCAACTTATGAATGAAAAAAAAGTTCTTTCCATGGGTATAATTTATATAGAAATAATAACTTAAAAATACAAACATTCAAAATATACAGAGGCTTACATACTGTAACAAAGGTGATATACAAATAATGAATTTTACTGGTCAACAATGATCTCAGAGAAGAGCAATTAAAATAAGTTTTTATAAACCTATACTTGAACAATTCCACTGGGAGTGCAACAGCAGCATTAATCTTTGAAGGGA